TATGAATTTAAATAGTATATATAATTAAATTCTTTGATATACTAATCAAAACCATATGACGTAGAGGGTAGAAGCAAGAAACTTTCACCAGTTATACTAATTCAGCTATGAGCAATAACAAGAAATAGTAAATGCAATGTTGGAATTATAAATGTACACTCATTAAGAAAGCGACACCTCCCCTCTGGCCATTAAAATGTCTTATGGGTATTCAACCAAGGTGGAAGCTTTTGAAGGGTTTGCAACGTTTTGGCAAAGGACTGTTGCCCTGTACACTTCTTTCTGAGAGCTCAAGGCATCTAGGAAAGTCAAGAGCTTCTCTATATTGAAGTAGAAGGTACATTTGACTGCCCTGGCTGTCCCTTGTGACCCGGATGAGCAGTTTCTGTGAGCGATCTCAAGAACACGGCATCTGGGATGTTAGGCAGAGGCACTGCTTTTCTCACTTGAAGGCCTGGCCCACCACAAACCACCAGGCCTGCAGGTAAACGGCTCAATTGATGTTGAAGTCTCTGCTCTACTGTAATTTTCTCAGTAATAACGAATTAGCCAGCAGTTAACATTGCGTTTTTCTACTTATTAAACAAATTAAGAGGTATTTTGAATATATTCAGCCTATTAGAGCATGTGGTTTCTATTTGGGAAGCTGGAGGTTTCTGTAAAGCAGTGAGTAATTACCTTAGCGATGGTGACTTTGGGCTCAAGCCTGGCGGTGCACTGTAATAAGAGACAGTTGCCATAAACACACCAGTGGGGGTACAGCGTGGTGTGTGGCCTTCTGGTGAGAAACAGATATCAACTCTAGGTGAACCTCCTCCACCCCAAAGCCTCCACACCAACTCCTCTTTTGTTCTGAAATTACATGGCTATTATTCATAATTACCCCATGATTCTCTGTCAGATTTTGTATTTGAAGAAAGCCATCTGCTATTTAAATTTACCAATAATTACTGAAAATACATTCATGGGAAATCATTTGTGCAATCTAATTGGAAAGGGACACCCTATAGCACTTTAAAGTGAAATACTTGACTTCAGCACAATTAAAATTCCAGATCCCAGAATCTCAGATGATAGCAGGCTGTATTTTCTGACTTTCATTTTAAATAATAGAGAAAGCATTAAATGGGGGCTGCTAATTTGTTGTGGTCTATTTCACTCCCCCTCCCCCCACCCCACCAAAACTTAATACATTTATTAAAAATGTATTTCTGAAAAATCAGAAATAATTGAATTACGTACACCAGTAGTATTTGCAAGGACATTGTTAGAGCATTGCAAGCTAGAGTCTTGCTTTTTTGGAGACAAGAAGTCTAAAATTTCTATTGTATACTTTATTTCCTGCAACTTTCAACAGAGCTTCCCCAAGGGAGGCCAGAGCACCCTTTTGTTTATCAGCTAGTCCTCTTCACTCCACCCAGGGAACATGTGAGCCAAACGGGACTCTAGTGTAAGCTGGAAAAGGAACGGAAAGCTCTGTTGGTGCTTAGAAGCACAAAAGAGGGCTGTGTCAAGGCCAAATGGAGGAGTGCTAGTCTCTGGCATCTCCACGTTGGCACTGAATAATTAGGGTTTTTTCCATTAGGTCCTGTAGTAGTGTCTCCTATACCTACTACAAACCATTGAGTATTTGTCAAAAACACTGTTTTGCAAGGGTTCCCAAGTCAGAGATGGTGCCAACAACCAAGTAGGCTTCAACCAGTCCTAAGCTTATCTGGATCCAAAATCAATCTTGACGTTTGTAGCACAGCTCAGTGAGTCACTGTGTTTACATGCCCAGCCGCGCAATGGATCAAAAGGAGTCCAGAGTTGCTGCCCAGATGGACTGAGAGCCACTGGCTTTCCTGATGAAATATTTCGGCACAATACAGAGAACAGGAGTGGGTGGACTGCAGAAGAACCAAATGAGGGCTTTATTTTGCTTTATTTGAAGTGTGTTACTAAAGTGTTCGGATTGCACGAAAACACACACACCACTGCCTTACAGACCCAGTGTGTCCGGCATCAGAGTGAAAATGTTCTGCTTTTCCAGTAACTGAGAACTCCCGACCCGCAGCCGGGGATCAGCAGCCAGGAGCAGGTTGAAGGGCATTTTACTTCCTTCTCTCTCTCCCCACACAGACACTCACACACGTACACACCGAGCCCTAAGCCCACTCCCCAGGTGGGGCTCTTCCGGCTCTGTCTGATCCAGAACTGGTTTTTATCACTTCATCTCGGTCACCCGTATCTGCTATTTGTGTTTTACAAAGCCACAGACGTTTTCAGCGTGAGACCAATCTGGTCGTCTCTATTAAATCCTACAGCCCAGGGAGGCTTCCCTCTCAATATTTAACAACTTCTCTTTTCCCTCCCTGTGATTGATTTCATCTCAAAGGAAACACCCCAGGGACCACAGGCAAAATACCATGGATCTGGTCTTAAAAGATTTGCTGGGATTAGAAAATAGCCCGACTGGAATGGACCATAAAGAGCTAATGTGGAGACCCCTCTAATGGCCATGTGTGGCCACTCTCTTGATCACAGTGCCTTTTGGACGAGAGACAGATGCAGGAAGAAGGGCTGGAGTGTTAAAAACTTACAGATAAAGGGCTTCACACTGCTGTGGATGTGCTTGTGTTGTTTGAGGCCCGATGAAGTGGCAAACGTTTTGCCACACTCAGGGCAAGCGTGGGCCCGCGCACCAACGTGCTGAGAGCGAATGTGCCGCTGAAGGTTGCTAGGGTCCGTGAAAACCTGCTAGGAAATGAGTACTGATTAATCGAGAAACTTAATTCAAGGACACAATAAAGAAGACCAGGAATGACTCAAGAAGGAATTTGGTTGATGTGTTTTGTTTTTGTTTATCCCCCCACCCGCCGCCGAAGACCAAAAGCTCCTCTAGAGTCTAGGGCAGCGATGGCGAACCTTTTGAGCCCAGCGTGTCAGCATTTTGAAAAACCCTAACTTAACTCTGGTGCCGTGTCACCAGAGTGAAATTTTTTTGATCTTTGCAACCATAGTAAAACAAAGACTTATATTTTTGATATTTATTTTATATATTTAAATGCCATTTAACAAAGAAAAATCAACCAAAAAAAATGAGTCTGCGTGTCACCTCTGACACGCGTGTCATAGGTTCACCATCACTGGTCTAGGGAATGGAGTGTAAGTCATTTACTCTATATCCTTAGCATGAAGTGTCCATTGGTATCAGCTGAATGAAATAATTAATGACATTATTAGACCATATTTGGGCCTTTTTTATCCTAATCAGAAGTGATTGGAGTTGAATAATAAAATGCTGGTCATGACATTACTAAAATAGTATGCTATTTCCATCCTTTACATAAAACACACAATATGTACAAAGTTGGGGGAGCTTTTGACTAAAGTATCACAAATCTATCCAAGGAGTTCCCCTCGCTTAAATTCGAACACTGTGTTTTCAGTAAATTACCATTAAGCAAAAATTATTCCTTTGGACACTTTACTAACAAAAAAATAAAGAAAAACCACCAACACATCTGGGAGCAAAACATCTCTAGAGATCATTTCAAATGTCAAAATTTTCATGAGAAAAGATATTCAAATATTATGAAAAGTTTTTGCAAACTGAAATCAACTTTCATGACATTAGGATATCTTTCAGTTAACTGAGAAACATGAAAATTAAATAATTAATTAAATTAATTATTGTTCCTGGAATGGTCAAGGTGAAGTTCATTCATTTCATCCTTACGTTGTTCTGCAACTGGGCACTAAGGAACTATGCCTTTAATTAGAATTAAGTTTAATTAGAATTTATGGTGGGGATCTGGGTGGAAAAATCTGCAAATGTGGAAGTCTCCCATTCTTTCTGAATAGGCATTCAGAAACTTTATGTGACTTCCTCACAAATTGCTATTAAAATAAATCAGTAATGTGCATTGGATAAAATTTTCATTCTCCGTAAGGCTATAAAACAACCCCGTGCTGGCAAGCCAGTAGCGGAACCAGGAATTTACCGTGGATGTCTGACACCTAGTTCTGGAACTCACCATTAAGCCTCACTTCCTCCCTTACAAAAATAAAACGATACCCACTAAGTGTTTTTATACACTGCACTAATGCCTTTTAGCATACAGCACTCAGTCTACTTTTCTCAAGATATTTATAGTTTCCCCTCTCAAGGCTTGTTTTTATATATCGTAGCAAGTGATAGATTAAGAGAGAGCAGGATGACAGAGAGCCAAGTAGTCTACAAATTCACTGTACCTTGGCACAATTTTCACATTCATAGTGCTTTCCACTGTCATGTGACATCTGGTGGCGAATTAAATTGGACTTCCAGTTAAATGCCTTGGGACACTGATCACACTTGTATTCCCTCTCTTCAGTATGTGACAACATGTGTTTCTCCAGGCTGTTAAGAGAACAATTAACTTAATAAAGACACGGTGACAAAGAATACATTCATACCCAGAAGGTCATTTTATTACCAGTCCAACTGGCAATTACAGCAATAAGAAGGAAACGTTGTTGAGGTGAGGAGGAAGAAAGAAGGGAAACAGGCTTGCAACAGACAGAAGTACATTTTATGTTTCTGAGACTGTCTCCCACTAATGCAGAGAAGTGCCCCTGTTGTTAGGAAATAAATCTGCTACAGCTAGCAGGAACCAGTTGCCAATTTAGGGGCATGATAAACAAGTAGCTATTTGTCAAGCCTGGAGCCACTACACAATTCTGACAGTAACACATATTGCTAACACCCACTTAAATACAAAGACCCAAACAGAAAATGTTAAGAAAATGCTTCAGAACATGCAAGCAGGTATTCTATGTGATGTATATAACTTCTAGATTCAAAAAAGTACTTTTGTTTTTTACCCATGTCACCATATGGAAAGTGAGCTATAAGCTACCTATTCAATAAGCAACTTCCCAATGTAACCCTGGGATAGATGAATGGACAAGCAGATGGACTGATGGATGAATAGGTCTGTGTATAGATATAAAGGTATAAATACTGTATATAGAGAAAAATATGTATATATGTATTAATGTTGGAGAACAGAAAATGTGTAATATTTTAAGTGAATGAAATCTTAAAGACCCTCAAAAAAAAAAAACCATCAGAAGTTTCTCACATAGTTTCTCTATTTTAAAACTTAGAATACTTTTTCCTTCTCAATTGTTTTTCCCCTTATCTAAAATTGTCTATGAAATCTGCATGAATATAATAAAAATAAATATTATAGATAATGGATTAGTGTGATATTCAGAAGGCGTTTGCAATATTTTTTGCTAATTAAATACAAAAACACATAACACAGACTACCCCCGCGTAAAGTCACCAGAGCTCCATGGAGAAACAGCCTGTTTTCAAATTTGAATAACAAAATATACAAGAAGGGCCGTGAACATGTTGTTATGGCAAAGAGCAACAAAGTTATAGATCACGTCAAAAGAATGAGGGTGCCAACTTGAAGCGATGCCCACTGAACATATATGAGGAAATCTAAGCATCAATAAAAATAATAATCTCATCTTTTAACAATATCAATATTAAAAAACACACAAACAGAACCTCACTGGTCACCCTTGGAAGCTGTTGGGAAACCAAATAAGTATTCAGAAAACTGATAAGTAAAAGGAAAAAACTCATCTACAGGCCTTATATGAACTGTACCTCAGGATGAGCAAATAAAGAATGAGGGGGAGATTCACTGTATATAATTAATCCAGATAATGAATAAAGAAAGAACGATAGAACTAAAACATTCATTTTGCAGCCCCTAAAGGATGAACGAATCTAGGCAATTCATTATGTACCTCCCGATAGAAATAAATAATACAAGGAATGAGGTCTTCTTCCCAAAACTTTGAACCTGTCTGTGATCAAGGCTTGGGATGTAACTCAATTTACAGGAACTAGGGGGCTGGAGAAAGATGTTAAACAACTCCAAGGAGATACAATCAGAAATCCAGACTGGAGGAAATGCTACAGGAAAACAGGCTCAGTTTCCTCTATAAATAAATTGTAATGATAGAGAGAGAATAAATGTGAATGAGAGAACAGAAGAGAGAGAAACAGACAAACTTACTGACTTTAACTGGGGAACCTATAAATTGAAAGAGATATAAGTAGGATGTGCAATGATGAGGCTTATTGGTCTTAATTCAAACGAACACTAATAATCATGAGATTCTGGGGGAATTTGAACACTGACCAACTATTTTATAATATTAAGGAATTATTGTTCTTTAAGCGTATGTTGAACTTAAGCTTTAAAGAGTCCTTACTTCCTACAGATACATAATGAACTATTTATGAATAAAATTATATAATATCCAGAATGTGTTTCAAACAATCCAAAATGAGTATAGCTGAGACAAGATTGGCCTTGTGTGATACTGAAACTGAGTATATTATATGGGGTTTATTATATCACCGTCTTTAGTTTTATATGTATTTTAAACTTTCATAAGAAAAAGTTGCTTTAAAAAAACTCAGCAACAACAAAAATACTACCAAGCATACAAACGCACTGTCTCTTCCGTGTTTCATTTCTCTGTAAGATGACCACTGTCAATGTGAGTATCAGGTCAGACCTCTGTGCACCTAGAATACATTATCCAGGGGATATGTAGACTGAGTGTGTGAGGTGTGTGAAAAACGAAATGCCCTTTCTCATATCTTGATAAATTAGAAATACCTTTCTCCTATTTTTTTTGTCTTCCCCAGCTTCCTCCCTACGATTTTTTTTTTTGTCTTCCTCAGCTTCCTCCCTACGATTTTTTTTTCATATTGGCACACAAACTCATTTTCCCTGCCCCATGAGTCAGTTGAGCTGGAAGTGCTATTCTATTTGAGCACAAGTGGCGATATCTCTGTGAACAAAAGGTACCAGGAGAGTACAGGTGTGTGGAGTCATGAGAAAGGCCCTATCTTTATCTACAGTATATAACCCTCTGTTTGTTACACAAGTTGAAATGTTAACAAGTGAGTTAGGAGAGAGATATCCACAACTACAGGTAACATTGAACTGAGTCAGGGGCATCTTCCAAAATCATTGTACAGATTGCTATTCTCACTGTTGTCCTTTACAACCCACGAAGGCATGCCACTTTATGATAAACATTATATTCTTAATATGTATGTCAAATCATTAACTTTAAAATCCAGCAGTAAAAGATTGGCCTATAGAGCCTTACTCCTGGTTCCCTAACTCCCAGGGTAGGATATAGCTTTAAGAGGATACTAAATGGCACGTGTGTGTGTGGGGGGGGGGGGGGGGGGG